AACGGGGCGCAGCAACACCTTATTTCACATCCGCCAAATGTCCACTGTCGATCTCGATAGCACTACGTTAGTGTGGCTTTTTAGCACCCTTTGCAAGGTATCTCTGGGCAATATTCCGAGGGCTTTGACAGATGCGAGATCCAAGCTCAATCAGCAGTCCATGGCATGACATGGCATCACAAGACCCTTCATGCATTGACTTAATTAATCGATGATGATTGTTACTTTTGCTATATTCCAGATCTACGGAGTACTATTATTGTTTCTCACAACGAGAGTTTGACACTGTAGTATTTCTCTTGATATCGTGTTCCACAATGCTCTGGGCTGCCCTTTGGCGCCCCACAGAGGTATTGTAGAGTCAGTCAAGTAGGCGGAAAATGATATCCAAACGAAGTCTCTCAACTCTGGGCACAATTTACAATTCTGAACACTGTAAAACGCCATGCAATTCAGTTGTCCTACTCCTGAAATTCACCAGTCTCAAGCCTTGTCTAGATCCGTACATCCGCCCTGACCAATAGCGCTCGGGATATTATCTCCTTTGAGTCAAGTCCAGTGGCAATCACGGAGTCGATTGAGCATGAAAGTCTGAACGGTGGGGCTGCCGAGGTTCATCTCTCTGCCAAAACAAAGGGCCCTGTCATTCCCTTGGTCTTAGAGGTTCGAAACTATGGCAGTCCACGTAACTCTTTTTCTCTCTTCCTTACAGGGCGTCTACCGAAACTATTCGGGTTCGCGTTCTCCAAGCCGAGCTGAACGAGGTTCCAAACCTAGAACTTCAAACGAGCTCGTAACTGCAATGCAGCAGCGCAGCACAGCCCTGCGGGTGCGGGAGAGGCGCGCCACAGACCCCTTCGTCTACAGAGCATTTTAGGGATTTCCAAGGCAGTGGCTAAGTGGCTTTCAGCCCATCAAGGCGGGATTGGCTACGGGCGCACTCTTGGCAAATGCGGCTCGAAAACTCTACATCTAAAGACGCCGCTGATATCCTGGTCTTCTCTGTGGCGATACAACGCTGAACGGATTACAAGTCCAGTTGAGAACCAACATCTCGAGACCCTGAATAGCGTTGCTGCACTCGACTTCGTGTTTGATACCAGGAGTTGATGGACTGTTTCTATTTTGGCGGTTTCTGGAGCTGATTCGTTCATAGCCACACGAGATTATCTACACATCCACCGTTTGTTCCGTAGCCTCCGGTCCGTAACCTCCTCCGGCACGGAGCATCGATACATATGCAGTTTTACATCAGAATCTCAGGGGATAGTGTCTCTAGTGACATGATCAGCATCGCATCTCGTCCAATACAATCATGCTCAACGAGCCATGATCAAAACATCGGCGTCGATTAAAAAGTGGGCAGTCAATTACCACGATATCCAATCTGAGTCTCAGAACGGTATGTGGCTGATCAGTAGTCTACGAAACAAATTGAACCGCGCGTCTATCAGAGGGAATAGTCAGAAGCACTTTTGTCTTTGTCATCTTGGCGCCTTGCATTCTCGTGTTGCGACTGGATGCCTTGAGAAGTCTAGGAAGTCTAGTCTAGGGCTGGTCCGGCTGAAGCATTGTACATAGTCGGGTTGGTCATGCGACACGTAACTATTCCTAAAGAAATAGTAATCAATCATATGTGGCTGAGGAACAAGCAAAGGGGTGCTTATTATGGGAGATCTGCTTGGTCTTGTCTCTGATTACATTTCTCTTGATCTTCACCATCTTGGGATTGGTGTTTTACGATTACATCTCACCGCTCTTCATGCGCGGGCAGCTGACTTGTACAAACAAGTTTGAGACCTCATTCATGACTCTTACATGATTTATCCAGAAAGGGAAGTATCGCCTCACTCGGGAGGGTGAAAGAGTCTTATTGACAGGCATCACCAGACAGACACAGACAGAGAAGAGAACGACATGAATTTCACTCCCTCCCCATCGATCCATTTTTAAGGCGTCCTCCATTCATCATGAAAGCGGATCAGCCAAGCGGCCGCTCTAGCTTCTTCATCCGAAGCCTCCAATACAAAGCTCGATGCCTTCTTGGCATGGAGAAGCGGACCTTTCTCTCATTGAATATCTCGGCCCAAAGGGCATCCGGGAAATAACCCAATCGTCAAGACGCTGGGGAGGGGAATTTCCACAGCCCTATCCAAGTTGATATCACTCCACAGCGCCCCCCTCGGCTTCTTTGCCTTAGGGATCGACCGCCGCAGGACGGATCACCAACTGCTCCGCGGATGACGGAATTCCGAGGTGGTCTGGTCTCTTATGTCCGTAAGGCCTCCAACTGGAGGAGACTGGGCGATGCAAGTGCACGAAAAGCGAAACCTGCAACAGGTCCACATGTACTCACTCATCTGAGAGGATGTTGTACGAGCGCTGTCTTGTGTGCCGAGTATATCACGACTGCCAGGCCTATTGTTTTTTCTCTTGTGTCTGAGGTGCAGCAGGCGACATGTCGGTAATAGCTGAGATGTGAAAGCTGACGGGCTGCAGCGGGCCGGGAAGATCTGTGGGGGTTTGAGGCCATTGAAAAAAAAAAAAGAAAAAGAAAAAAAAAGGCAATATTCCCACGAGCCATTGCAACTATCGACATGGTTTAGGCGCTTTCACATGAGAATCGCCACGGAAATAAAAGCCAGGTGGCCTGAGAATATTGTCAGTCCCAATGAGAGCCCGGGGTTAAGCTGGGATGCTGCTTGTTAAGCAAGTCAACTATTGAACACAGATGTCTCACAGAGATGATGTTGTACGACGCTTGCTATTGCACAGCTCATCCGGCAATCCGTGAGCCTCAAAAGTTCTCGACATTGCATTTATTCTATTGATGTTGCCAAGTCTTGTTATTGCCACATAAAGTTGTCTTGGCAGTTTGCGATACCTGAACTTAATGTCTTGTATCAGATTGAGGATATTTACGGTGGGCTATTTTTGCATCTCGACCAAAAATGCTCGGATCGCCCTCAGAATCCTGCAGGACTGAGGATTCAAGCGTCAAGACTTGAATGCTACGCCGCTATTCTTGACTCATAGCCCTGCAAGACTTGACCTCCAATTGATAGCCTGTGCCTCTTTGTCGCGTTGAGGATTTAACCCTCGGCGCCAATACTCAAGGAGCCAAATGCTTGTCGTCTCTTCGCTAAACGTTATCCGTAGGGCTGGCCTTTTTTCTTCTGTCAATTCTAATTTATTCGAGACGTTTCTTATCTCTGTGAAGTGCCGAGGGTGAGTGTCAGTGAAGCTGCTAACCGACGAGTTTTAGCGAGGGCGATCTTCTATCTGAAACCACGTTAATTAAGGTTACGTCGGGCGATGTGCCCTCAACTGGGAATACGGCCTTGCTGTTACGATGACACAGTGACAGGCAGGACATGAATGACATTTCGGCTTCCTCGGGCCTGACGACGTTTAATCTCGATAGCGGTAAGCGGTGACTTACATGCGGTTGACCTACCTGTTGAGGTCATATTACCTTGCTCTCCAGAAGGATGAAGCTATAATAACGGGTGATAAGAGCCTGACGATCGACATTATGATGGGGGTGGAAAGCAAAAAGAGGCGGACGAATTAAACTGCTCACACGCCCACCTTTCGTAGCGTCTACCAAAAGTGGAATGCTTCCAGAAATATTCTCGAATGATTCCTCTTTTGGGCTCTGAAGATCAAGGGATTTTTTGTTCTCTGACCATGTCCCCAGCTGGGCCACGCAACCCCTGCAGGGGAGAGCTCTAGCTTCTTATTCCTGTCTTGGGATTTAAGATTCATTGGGCCATGCTCGTTTCTCCAGATTGGTTTTAAACGCGGTCCCTCTCTCTCTCTTGTTCTGCAGGGCGACACCTCGGTGCTTATGCGGGCCAGACTTGTTTTGGCACGTAAACGCTATATCCTTGCCTTTTATAACATAACAGCGAGCACATATTGGTACAGTACAGCATGTAAACCTGGAGATAGCCGTGGTGGTAATTAACTCGAGACAATCACATGCGGGGCTTTAGAGGAGAAGGTCCGTTCTCATAAAGCTCCAGTTTATGCTTTTTGGTGGGAAAGGGCTCGAGCACCGGTACTATTCGGTATAATTCCGCGCTTGTCAAGAGCTTGGTCGCGGAAGATGAGAGAGACTAGCATAGACTTTACGGATTGTGGGTTTTGTCTAGTGATGGTTCACAATTCAGTTCAATATTTGATCCACTCTATTGCGTTGAACTGAAAGGTATGTTCCGTGAACCATGAATGCATCAACAGAGAGTCTGGACCTTGATGATACAAGTTTGAGTTGAAACTAGGTATTTTTACATATCAACCACGTCTCTCAAGACTTGCCAAGTACGAAAAGAATGAGGCATATTTGTTTGGCTATGGCGTATAAACACATGTCAATGAGATTATCGGCCTGGTAGGATAGGATCATGATCCCTACCTGTCAACCGGTAATAGGATGTTTTCACAAGCAATTCCTACAAAACAGAAACTCTCAAAGGACTCCGTAATGAAGATCAGATCAGATCATGCTTGTTTTTGCGTCGTCAGTATCAGAATCTGGTGCCCACGGCCGAGAAACCTTCTAGAACGGAGATGGTTACCGTTCGCAGGACCTCCATCCGAGGGCCGAATTGGGTCGGAGGGTATTATGTGTGTTTTCCGACCATTCTCCTTCTGACGTCGATAGTTTCTCCATATTAGTTTCACTCTAGTTTAGTCAATCCGCGATGCTAGCTAGCTAGCTAGTTTAGCAAAGTGGTTCCTGGTCTAAAAGTGCCGTTCTTTGACATTCCGTCAGCGGAACGGCAGTACCTGTTGCATTCAACTGAACACCACTAACCACAGAGTTCAGTTGTAACACTATGTATCTGAAGTTTGTTGGTTTGTCATTCCTTATCAATGCTGCTACGCCGTCGCCTCTTAATTTTACTTGTGTCTCTCTCTATCTGCTTTGCCTCCCACTTGAAACTCTGTCTCCCTTTCCATATCACAGCAAACCCAGTGCCTTCCGTCTCGACCTAAATAATCTCCGGCAGTGTTGCCCTTCTCCTCTTCTCCTTCTCACGGAACGGATGTAACCTTGGGACCACAAACGCACCCCACTGCTGGTTCCGGAAACCGAGGCCGTGCCGCGCCGTCGTGAGGGGATCGTGGTCCCTCTTCCCCCTTGACATGCCTGGACTTTTTAGCTTGTGGGGGTGTTCTTGCGATCGAACTTCAGGTTTCGGGCCAGACGGTATGTAAGGCAGGGCAAGGGACGGAGTTTTGACATAATCACCCTTAAAAGTCACTGCGACGAGCAGGGCCAAGCATGGTAGAACGTCATGAACCCACCGAGGCATTACAGCGCACAGGTAGATCATCTCCGAATTATAGATAGTTGGGTACAGTATGGTATGGCTCCGGAGCATTTTGAAGCAAACATGATGCAGCTTGGTAGGGCTAGCCTTGAAGGACTCTATCAGAAACAGGAATGACCGCCGTTGAAAGAGATACCTTATGCAAGTGAATGGGTATTGATCAACAAGGAGCATACCCAAACCAACCACAAGAGTGTCGTTGTCTTCGTTTCACCTGTATTTCGGAGGTTTAGGCAGAATAGGCACGGAAAGGACGGGTATTCTCTTCATGCGTGGTTGCAGAAGGGGGGAAATTTGCCTTGTAAACGGGCCGTTTATTACCAGACTGTCGGGTCGTGCTGATATGCATTCTTCGGAGGATTGAGGGATAAGCAATGATGATGCTGCTTCTGGAAGGGCTTATTACGCCAGGTGTTTGAGGTTCAGTCTCTGACTGAATCGGGTATGACTAGGTGATGAATAAGAGATGGACTCGTAGAAAAGCAGTGTTGATGTAGTGTTGGTATTGGATCTCTGGAGGGCTGTGGTCCCGGGTAACGACCGTGTAAGCCACGATGGTGGAATATCACGGAGATGGCAGAGGTAACTGTACCCGTTGGTGTCCCTCACTGGATCATTACGGTCCCTAGTTGCTTGCAATCTTCTAATTGAGATCGTCGCCGGTGCTCGTCCATGTGGTATACTTATCTGTGCCTGAGACTCAGTCCTGAGCTGATCTTCGGATGCCACGGAGTAAGTACTGCATAGCCTTCTCGAAGCATGACCAAGAGAGACGGGTAAACAGCTTTGAACTTGGCCTTTACTTGATGATGCATGATGTTCTGGACAAAGGAAAATGACCGCCAGGCTATAAACCCGTCTGCGGTGTTCGGCCAGAGTGTAGCATTGGTGGTGTTGAAGGACTCAAGTCCTTTACCATATCGTAAGAAAGCACAAGGATTCGGATAGCATTCGCAGTTCGATCAAAGAAGCCTCTATATGAAGTGCTTATTCCCTGGATCGACTCATAGGCAGTCTCTCACATTCACCCACCCATCAATAGCGTGCGTCGAGGCCGGGACTTGTTCTTAGGATGACTCGCTGAGCCCCTTCGGATTAGAAAGCTGTAGCTGTTGACGGGAAACGTCTACAGCATGAACCTTTAAACGGATTGGTCAATAAAGCCTTCCTAATGTTCACGATCCGCGGTCTTTGCGTCCATACCGCAACTGCACACAGGGCTGTGCTCGTCACGAGCTGTTTTCTCACTGATGTCCTTCTCAATGTTAATTACATGGCCCGTTAGGGATTGCGTCATTCGAGAATGATTCTTGAAATGTCTCGATCAACGTGATGTGATAGAATCGCGCTGCCAATCGTGAGATGTCATAATCTCGAATGGAAAAGCACTGCCTCTTCAAGCATGAGCGGCATCTGAAAGCATAAGAACTTGGATACTTGAGGCCTCAAAATGTCTGACTCTCGAGTGAATAGAGACTCTAGTGTTGAGCTTTAGTAAGGTAGCGACAGGCAAGTTGCATCCTGATGATAAGGCCATGGTCCACCAGGATTTCGATGACAATGAGGAAATACCCGGACATGGAATCACCACTTTCGTCTCTTGCATAGAGTTCATATGCAGTCATTTGAGTGCGAATAAAAGAAAACCCTCGCCACAGCAAGTCCAAGCAGCTGTGTTGAGTCACAGATCTGATGCTGGAATACAGAGGGAACTCAACCACATCTTCACGAGATTCAGGTTCAAACCTTTTATCATGGCAGAACTATTGGATAATCTCGTCTCTTTTATACCTATCGGTAGTCTTTGACTGACTGGCTGGGACGGCGATGGGAACGCACCCCCGCGTTACTCGACCATCACGTTGGCGATACCATCACAAGTAGGCAGCAAGCAAGCTGGCGAAGTTTGAAGGACAGAATCTATTGCAAAGACCTTTCTACGTCTCTCTTTTAAACTTGTGATCATTACTTGGCTTTTCAAAGGCGAGGTGAGTGTGAGTGTATGTACATCATGCCAACAGCACCTCCTGAGCCAGGGTTGGTGAGTGATAGAGTTGAGCCAGAGGTGGTGATGGTATAATGAGCTTTGTGATTATCTCAGCTGAAGCGTGTATCTATGTAACCTAAATACGCACCCATCTACGATTCCTAAACACAAATAAAATGAAAGACTCAGATGTAGCGATACGAGCAATGCCATATCTCGCCTTCATCCCCATGTAGGTCTCCCACATGTTCCAGCCCCTTCATCATCCATCCTATCCAGTTACTTCTTTCTACCACAAAGCCCTTCGAAAAGCCAGTGTCGAAAAGCTACCTGGCAAACCGGTGCCAAAGGTCCCAAGACATGACAATCCCCGGCAAGACGCCCAAAACACAGAACAAGGTTCGATTGCAGCGCCGTTGAGCTTTCAAGTCCTCATTTCGCAAAAGAAGGATATGGTGTATCTCACGATGGATTTTTGCAATGTCACGGTGGATCTCACTAATGGCCTTGTTGAGGCGAGCCTCCACGTTGTTGATGGTGCCGTAGGAGGTGGATGAGGTAAGGTAGTCCGACATGATGGCTATGGTGAGACATTGACTTGTGAGAGTTTGCGGTACGTAAAATTGAGCTGATTTGTATGCTGAAGTGAGGTAGTTGTGTGAAAGGTACTTGGAGGTTTTTCTTCTCTCAGTTTGGCCTTGTAAGAGAAGAGGGTGTGTACAAGAAACTGAGTTGAGGACTATAGCCTGGTATTTATACCTCTCGAGATGAATTCAATGAGATGGTCAAGTTGATGTGATATATCTCTTGCTGGCTACTCCAGTCTAAACTTCTGGAAGGAATTCCACCGTTTCTTTGTTCGCAGACATTCACCACCACCAAACGAAAGCCCTAGCTTTGAAGCGATATCTAGACTCAACAGCAAGACAAAGAATAAGATAGGCAATTGAGGCCTAAGATAGCCTGATTTGACAAGTCATTGTGGGCAGCTGCGTAAATGTAGCAAGCTGCGGTAATAAACGTGGAAAGTTGTCCATAGCTCCATGCTTCTACCCAGGGAACAAAGAACAGAGGCACAAAAGGACTGAAGATTCAGCATCAGCTGACCAACAGCAATTCAGGTTTTGTCAATGAATCTCCCGGAACAGGCAGGCTGGAGTTGTTGGATATTGCTTTTGCGTATATCTGGCTCGTTTGAAGGGTGATGTTTCCATAGCAATCACCAATTGAGGAAAGCTCTTTGACGTTGTTGTCATTCAGTTATTTTCTCAGGATGAGGTAGGGAACAAGCCTTCCTTGTTTATGTATTTATGCAACTCTTGGCTGGGCATGACGTGTGTCTTTGAAGTAACAGCTCGGCCCGTCATTTGTTTCACGGAGAGAATGTCGTCAACTTTGCTTTACAGCACCGAGCTCGTCATAGCTTCTGTTCCCCATAGTATATCTGAGTTTGAACGAGAAACGAACGTGCTGCATAAGCAACCTTTGCCCCGCTACCCTCCCACTTCATATATATGATTGTGTCGCTTCAAAGGCCTTCCGGCCAGACACATCGTGAATGACATCAATCCACATAACCTCCTTCACGCGCTCCCGTACCTCCTCCCAGCTCTGTCGTCCAGTCAAACTGTTTATCGACTGCACAAGCCAATCTTCACTGCTATCAAAGACAATGATAGACCCCACCACAAGAAGCCAAAGCTTGATATTGGCGGTGGCCTCTCCTTGCACGGGTGTTGCCTGAATGGCATCGCGGAACTGTCGACTGAAAGAATCAGACTTTAGTTTCGTGCCCTGTATTTGCAAGAAGATGGTTGACTCGTAAGCAAGTAGTCCAATACGCAGCGCTTCTTGTATCGGCGCCGGATCTTGCGAAAAGTCAAGCTGTAGAAGACGATACTGGATTGACAGCATGATCTCCTGGAACGCTTCGGGCTTGAGCTTCTTGGAGCTTGGTGAGTGTTTATTGGCTAGGGCGGAGAAGTCTCGAAGATCTTTGAAGGTGTTTTGCAATCTCCAGTCCCAGGTGTAGTAGACGTTCATGAAGTCCAGAGATGGTTCTTGGATCTCGAAGGAGCAGGCTACGGTTCCGAAAGCTTCGAGGAGAGGTTCCCATGCTGGCTTGCCGTCATAGATTTCGGGTTTGCAGCCGTTTCTGATGGACCATCCGAGGTCGACACTGACAAGATGTTAGTGGGAGCTAATACTGGAATGGGAGGTAAAACTCACCGGCAGAGTTTGATCTGTAGTTGTCGATTATGTGTATATCCTTGTAAACCACCTCTCATTTTGACAATCCGCCGAAGACCATTCGAGTGGGCTTCGAAAGCCTGGGCGTCCTCCATAGCATCAGCCATCATAGCCAGCGATATGATGGTTGCGGTAGTCGCATCCTCTATTTGCTTGGCAGGGTCTTGCAGTCTTTCTTGTAAAAGTTTGATGGTATGCCGAAGACGATTTCGTGTTGATGCTGAGAACTCTCCGCCCCATCCAGTCTCATACTTTCCGCGTCCCAGTAATGACTGCATGTTGATAAGATCTTGAAAGGCGCTGACCATAAAACAGATGCAGTGCAAATAGGCTGGATCTTCTAGCAGCCAGCGGAACCAGCATACCTTTTCACCGTCAGGATCGAAACACCATTCTGCGGGATACATAGTCTCCTTGATGGTAGTAAGAACTACAACACATTAGCTTCATCAGGGACCAATGGGCGGGAACGTTACATCTATATATATAATACCTCGAATCTTTATCAAGGGGCGTAGCAAAGGTGAAAAGATCCAGATCGGGCGGGGGCTTGACTAGTTGCGCCATAAGAGAAGGCGACTCGACCCAAGCTCTGTCTTGGCGAGCATGCGTATGGCCGACAGTCCACATGGCATCTGTGCAGCGAGTGATCGCCAGGGGTGCAGGGCGATCTAGCTCCTCCACATCATCATTAGCTCTGGGGAGAGCATCAACTCTAACGTCCAGTATTGGGTGTCTTGGAGGT